TGCTGCAGAACAGGAACCTGCTGTAAAACAGCAATTATGCTGAGTCAGGCTTGATTTTTAATAATCTTTTCCTGTTAAATAAATAAATCAAAGCAAATCAAATCAAATCAATTTTTGCACGTTAAGAAGACCTGGCCTGGATTCAAACCAGGGTTCTGTGTATTTGAATTTGCTGTTGTGGCCCACTGCCAGCCCAATATCTGGAACCCAGAGAAGTGGGGTTCTATTCAAACTGGGCTGCTGGGGCTCTGTTTCAGCTGATCTTGAAATATACAGGACAAAAAGGATTACCACAAACTTGATGTCACCCATAATTGTGTCGCAAATAAAATTACATCACCTAAAGATTTTCTCGTTTTAAATATGTTGATTCCACCAACATTGTGKCAGCACGGGTAGAACAAGGCGAAACCTACAGCTGCGGAGTCTCATAAAGCAAAAATGCCACGAGGCACTCAGGGTTAAGGGCCATGCTCATGACAGTGGAGGAATATGAGTATGCTTTAGCTTTCCCACCCAGATTTTTGGCTATAGTTGTATGAACCTGCAATGCAGCAATATACACAAAACACGCTGTAGTTTTTACACTACACTCTTTTTTCTTTGGATTAAAAACTGAAACTAAACTACACTCAGAACATATCCATTCATTGTCCGTATTGTAGCATGCTAAGGTTAGCATTCTGATGCAAACACAACCTCTGTGCAATATTCCAAAGTTTACTACTGAAATGCCACATCATCATTATACAACCTTTGCCAACAATATTTATTTTGTTCTTTGTGCTATACTTTGCACAAGCAATGTCAGAAGCTGTAGAAGTTACAATTATTACATTTTACATGGATCAAAATTTTAACCTGCAACGTTAAACTTTGATGTTATTCTAGTAGATTTATTATGAAAAGTAGCAACCAAACTTACATTCAAAATTCCTACATCCATAATAAACATTTAATATTTAATCACCTGAGCAAAAATGCATACAGCATGTATAAATCCAAGAGGCTAGCTGATTTTATTCCGGCTTCTTAACTGAAATCTTAACTCACCCATATTTAATCATTTAAAACACTTTATGCTAATTAAAATATTGGTCACGCTCCAAAATCTGAATGTACACAAGCATTTTTACAATGTCTCTTTCTTCTTTACACCTTTGATTKTGGAAACAGGAAAAATCTACATTGGAAACAAACAGGAGATTGCAGAGAGCAGAATCCCTGAGCTCAACACGTACATGAAGGTAATGGCATCTTTTTTTATGCAAAGTGCCGTGTTTTTTAAGTACAAAGGAAAGGACTGTTGGCATGCTTGCAGTTTTTTTTTATTTTTTTTTTTTTGCAGCGTGCAGAGCAGTAGCCTACATCTTAGTGGGCTGAGTGATGCTGTAGGTGGAAAAGCACCGACTCAGATATTTCAGCTGTAGTTTGGAGATGGAGCTCAACATGTAGGCGTTGCTGCTCTCTTCTCTTTGCTCTGCCCTGTGCCCACATCATGTCTGACTGACTTTAGTTGTGGGACTTTTGACATGTTGCTCCATCGCTAAAAACATGATCAGGTTCTCTTTCTCCCACTCACTCACTTCTCATTTCTGCTTTTTATTTTTTTATTTTTCTCTCTCTTTGCAACCTACATGACTCTCCCTTATCGCCTTTGCTTGCCTTACACCTCTGATGCTTTTCACTCCAGCATCTCTCTTTTTATTCTTCCACCCCTTTATCTTGGCTTTCACACCTCCCGAGTCCTCCTTACCCTCTTCCATCACTCCTACTGACTTTGCATCCCACCTCAGTTTTGCTGACATCTCATCATTCACCTTAATTTCCCCCAGAAACCAAAACATTGATTAAAAATCTACAATAAGTGCCTTTACTTTTTGTCGATATGTTGGTGTTCACATGGTCTTTGTGTTTGTTAAACACATAAAATGCTCCTCGTTTTGTCTTTCACTATAACCTGTTCAAACCAGCACCTTATTATTWTTTTTTTTTGCAGAGGTTGTTGGGTCTACCAACATGGCTACTACTGGATGAAGCTCTCAGGATGTTTTTCTACCAGACAGATCAAGACAGTCAGCACCAACCGCGAGCCCTCAGACGTCTACGACCACCTACCCGCAAAATGTAAGCCCCAAACTATCAGACAAAACCCTTTTAAAAAAATACATTCATACCACTGAATTAATTAGATTCTCAAGCCAAAAGCATCTTGCACAYGCTCATACACACATCTTCATCATCATTTCCATGTACAGTGTTAAAGTCTACAACAGAAAATAGGAGATTATGATTTTTTTATCCAGATTTTAGGCTGTGTCAAAACCACTAATTTGACAAGAACCAGTCATTGTTCTTGACATGTTATGTTAAATTTTTTTAAATAATGGCAAATGGCTTGAATATAGCACCTTATCAAGTCTACATGGACCCCAAGGAGCTTTACACTTGCAGACATTCACCCATTCACACACACATTCACACTGATGGTGGTAGCTACAGCCACATGACGAGGCTGCCATGCACCAGCACCACTATCAGCAGGCAAGGTGGGTGAAGTGTCTTACCCAAGAACACAACGACGGACATGGCTAGAACACAGAGTAAAGCACACTGCATGGAAATCTGTCTCCAGATTGGAACAGAAGCTGATAAGTACAACTAAAGCAGAATAACGAGAAACTACTTTGAAGACTAATCATTTGTGGTATATATATATA